TGGTAATTAGACACTCGTTTTAGATGTAGTCGTGGTAATTAGATACTCGTTTTAATTGTAGTCGTGGCAATTAGACACTCGTTTTAGATGTAGTCGTGGTAATTAGACACTCCTTTTAGATGTAGTCGTGGTAATTAGACACTCGTTTTAGATGTAGTCATGGTAATTAGACACGCGTTTTAGATGTAGTCGTGGTAATTAGATACTCGTTTTAGATGTAGTCGTGGTAATTAGACACTCGTTTTAGATGTAGTCGTGGTAATTAGACACTCGTTTTAGATGTAGTCGTGGTAATTAGACACTCGTTTTAGATGTAGTCGTGGTAATTAGATACTCGTTTTAGATGTAGTCGTGGAAATTAGACACGCGTTTTAGATGTAGTCGTGGAAATTAGACACGCGTTTTAGATGTAGTCGTGGTAATTAGACACATTCGTTTCAGATGTAGTCGTGGTAATTAGACACTCGTTTTAGATGTAGTCGTGGTAATTAGACACTCGTTTTAGATGTAGTCGTGGTAATTAGACACTCGTTTTAGATGTAGTCGTGGTAATTAGACACTCGTTTGAGATGTAGTCATAGTAATTAGACACTCGTTTTAGATGTAGTCGTGGTAATTAGACACTCGTTTTAGATGTAGTTGTGGTAATTAGACACTCGTTTTCTAGCTGTAGTCGTGGTAATTAGCATGTCATCATCTAGCTTTGGGCAGTACGTAAGTCACGGCAGTGGCGTAGCGAGGTCGGGTTTCACCCGGTGCGACACTTAATGGTGTCACACCCCCCCCCCCCCCCCCAGAGACTCTTCCCGGGGACAAACTTTCAATTTTCGATTTGAACCCCCCCCCCCCTCTCCCCCTCAAACTTTCGATTTGCACCCCCCCCCCCCCTCAAATTTTTCTCTATATATATTTTTTTGCCTTGGTGTCACCCCCCTAAATGGTGTCACCCGGTGCGGTCCGCACCCCCCCCCCCTCTCTACGCCTCTGAGTCATGGTATTCAGCAATCAAGTGTTGGCTCCACGGCTAACATTACTCATACACTGTGCTCAGGCGGCACCCACAAAAACAAAGTTACCTATGTAAATTTTATCGTTGTTGGGGAGTACCCCCGTCAACCAGTAGGGGCAGGCGACCCCCACAGTGTGGACCACGATGGCAACTAGCGTCAGGCAGAGGCTGGTCTTGCACATCCAGCTCACCTCGCCTTTTAGGTCACGTGCTTCTGTGGGCGGAGCCGGGGACACGGCGTTGCTCATCGTGCGAGGGTTTCTGAATTTTAAAAATGTAAACATTTAAAAAATAAATAAATAAAAAATAAAACTAAACAATGAACAATATAAGTAAACAATAAAATAATAAACAAAATAATAAAAATAAACAAATACAAAATAAAAATAAACAATAAACACAAACAAAACAAGTAAAAATCATTAAATAAGCAATAAACGTAAACAATAAAAATTACAAAATTAAACAATAAACAATAAAAGTAAACCAAAAAATAAATCTAAAAAATAAGCAAAAAAAAAATAATAATAATTAAAAATTGAAAATGTAAATAAACAAAAAAAAAAAGAAAACTATTACATTTTTAAAAAATTAATAAAGAAAAAAAAATAAACACAATATAAACCATAAATAATCAAGCTAAACATTAACAATAATTAAATAAAATAAGCAAAACAAATAATAAAATTAAACAAAACAAATAAACAATAAAACAAAAATAAATAAATCTGATATATATAAAGCTCAAACGGATTCTGTGGCTCTTTATGTGGCCGGATCCTTGACATAGAGACATGTAAAAAAACTCGACTTGATCGCTATAGTGTAATACACCTAAAGCTTTTATTACCTAAATTAATAATTTTTAAAAAATAATATCAGTGTATTTAAAATAAATTTCATTTCCCAAACGTATAATTTTCATTAAAGTTATGTGGAATAAACAAAGTCAAAGAATATGTAACATCCTTCACAAAAATTAAAACGTGTACTAATTACTTCACTTTGTTCTTTTATTGCCAGTTACTTCCCTTGCCAATGACTTCTTTAGATAGATCCAAAAAAAAATTACTTCCCTTTAAAAAAAACATCGGGGGGGGGGGGGGATACTTAGTGTTGAGAAAAAAAATTATATAATTAGCGTGGATTGATAAAGTGCAATGGTGTAGATAAAACACGGGCCTTAGGTTTGTGTTTGCGTTTGTGTATGCGTTGTGTTTGCGATTTTGTTTGCGTTAGGTTTTGCTTTTGAAATTGAGTTGTTTTATTTTTGTTTGTGTTTACGTTTGTGTTTGTGTTTGCTTTTGTGTTTGCTTTTTTGTTTGCGGTTCTGTTTGAGATTATGTGTTTTTTTATTGCGTTTACGTTTTTGTTTGCGTTTCGCGATGTGTTTGCGTTTGTTTTTGTGTTTGTGTTTGCGTTAATTGTTGGGTTTGGGTTTGTGCTTTTGTTCGTGTTTGTGTTTATGTTTGTTTTTGTTTTTTGTGTTTTGTGTTTTTGTGTTTGTGTTTGCGTTTATGTATATGTTTGTTTTTGTGGTTGCGTTTATGTTTGGGTAAAAAGTAATATATTTCCAAAACCCGAGCAACCCCAGGTATAAGCTGCTTAATAAACACACAAGTCATGATCCTTTACAGACGGCTAGTAAATAAGAAAAATTAACAATAAAGATGAACAGTAACAATAAATATTAAAAATAAACAATAGGCAATCAACAAAAAATAAACAAAAAACAATAAAGAAAAAAATAAACTATAAAAATAAACAATAAAAAATAAACGAAAATTTAAAAAAAATTAATAACAAAAACAAATAATAAAACTAAAGCAGTTAAAAATACAACAATTTTTAAAATAACAAATATAAAAATGAAACAAAATACAATAAAAATACAAATAAACAATAAAAAAAAATATAATATACTAAAAGAAAACAATAAAAATAAAACTGTAAAAAAACAAACACTTTTAAAAAGCAGTAAATATTAAACAATAAGGTTAAAATAAGGATTAAAAAAACTAAACCGATTAGTGACACCAACATAGCCCTCACACCTAAGTGGTGAAACCAACATAGCTCACTAAGTGGTGACACCAACATAGCCCACTAAACTAAGTGGTGACACCAACATAGCCCACTAAACTAAGTGGTGACACCAACATAGCCCACTAAACTAAGTGGTGACACCAACATAGCCCACTAAACTAAGTGGTGACACCAACATAGCCCACTAAACTAAGTGGTGACACCAACATAGCCCACTAAACTAAGTGGTGACACCAACATAGCCCACTAAACTAAGTGGTGACACCAACATAGCCCACTAAACTAAGTGGTGACACCAACATAGCCCACTAAACTAAGTGGTGACACCAACATAGCCCACTAAACTAGGTGGTGACACCAACATAGCCCACTAAACTAAGTGGTGACACCAACATAGCCCACTAAACTAAGTGGTGACACCAACATAGCCCACTAAACTAAGTGGTGACACCAACATAGCCCACTAAACTAAATGGTAAAACCAACATAGCCCACTAAACTAACTGGTGACACCAACATAGCCCACTAAACTAGGTGGTGACACCAACATAGCCCACTAAACTAAGTGGTGACACCAACATAGCCCACTAAACTAAGTGGTGACACCAACATAGCCCACTAAACTAAGTGGTGACACCAACATAGCCCACTAAACTAAATGGTAAAACCAACATAGCCCACTAAACTAACTGGTGATGTCACATTAACCCAGTCTTGTCATGTTAAATATTCTTGGAACTTACCTAGTTCTTGCTTTAGCTGATAGCTGCTCTGTATCTAGCTGGTAGCTATATCTAGCTGGTAGCTATATCTATCTGGTAGCTGTATTTAGCTGGTAGCTGTATCTAGCTGGTAGCTGTATCTAGCTGATAGCTATATCTAGCTGGTTTGGAATGCGACAAAAAATAACGGTTTAACGAACGTTTCTCGGATTTTCTGGTTACTATGGCAACCATCATTTGCCGTAGGTATCGTTGGCGCCCACTTAAGTTAAAGGTTGAAGACATTACGCTCCGGTCACGTGATTAAACCAAAGAAAGAGAAGCATTCACGCTGGGCACCCCTCTATCCAATTTATTCAATGTTTCAATCACTTGCATCAGCCTAGAGAATAATCAATACTGAAAAACGTTTCTTCCTCAGTTTGTATACAATGAGTTGTCTAAAACTTAATACGTTTTGTTCCTCTCTTTTTAACGATAAACGATACTTGCATTAGAGGTCTACTACCAACATCATCATTAGAGGTCTACTACCAACATCATCATTAGAGTTCTACTACCAACATCATCATTAGAGTTCTTCTACCAACATCATCATTAGAGGTCTTCTACCAACATCATCATTAGAGTTCTACTACCAACATCATCATTAGAGGTCTACTACCAACATCATCATTAGAGTTCTACTACCAACATCATCATTAGAGGTCTACTACCAACATCATCATTAGAGGTCTACTACCAACATCAACATTAGAAATCTGCCTCCGCTATAAGATAAACTAAAATAATCACGCATCATATCAAAACGTGATCCTAATCACGCATCATATCAAAACGTGATCCTAATCACGCATCATATCAAAACGTGATCATAATCACGCATCATATCAAAACGTGATCCTAATCACGCAGTATATCAAAACGTGACCCTAATCACGCAGTATATCAAAACTTGATCCTAATCACGCAGTATATCAAAACGTGATCCTAATCACGCATCATATCAAAACGTGATCCTAATCAAGTAGTACATTAAAACGTGATCCTAATCACGCATCATATCAAAACGTGATCCTAATCAAGTAGTACATTAAAACGTGATCCTAATCACGCATCATATCAAAACGTGATCCTAATCACGCATCATATCAAAACGTGATCCTAATCACGTAGTATATTAAAACGTGTCCGATGACAGAAACAAAGCAAACAAGGCTGTTGTACAACTTTATTGATGTCAGACTACGTTTCCATTTGAGTTGGTCGTGTGGTGACGTCAGTTGGTGGCGTCACTTGGTGACGTCAGTTGGTGACGTCAGTTGGTGGCGTCACTTGGTGACGTCACTTGATGGGGTCACTTGGTGGGGTCATTTAATCTGAAAGGTTGTCACCGGTTGGTACAATTTCATCTTCGTCATAATCCACGATGACGTCATCGTCCAGATCATCATCTACTGTGTCGTCACTCTCGTCTGAACTTCGGGCTCCAAGCGTGGTGCCATGGACAAATAGGTCAGAATCACTGTACCAAAAAGATGAAAACAAATCACTGTACCAAAAAGATGAAAACAAATCACTGTACCAAAAAGATGAAAACAAATCACTGTACCAAAAAGATGAAAACAAATCACTGTACCAAAAAGATGAAAACAAATCACTGTACCAAAAAGATGAAAGCAAATCACTGTACCAAAAAGATGAAAACAAATCACTGTACCAAAAAGATGAAAACATGTTCGCAACAAATGTTCTGACATCATCAAAAATGTTCTCAACAAATGTTCACACATCAACAAATGGTTAAGCCATTCAGACGAATTATAAAATTTTGCCCCCACCCCCGTATAGGTTTGATGTTTGTTTCGTAATACTTGAATACTTGCTGCGGTTGTTACATCCTTACTGCTACCTCAGGCTTCACTCAAGTGACATCGCAAAGTACCAAACAAAAACAGTCTTAGCTTGTACCGTGGTCAGTAGACCTAGAGTGGCCGAGGTGTACCGTGGTCAGTAGACCTAGAGTGGCCAAGGTGTACCGTGGTCAGTAGACCTAGAGTGGCCAAGGTGTACCGTGGTCAGTAGACCTAGAGTGGCCAAGGTGTACCGTGGTCAGTAGACCTAGAGTGGCCAAGGTGTACCGTGGTCAGTAGACCTAGAGTGGCCAAGGTGTACCGTGGTCAGTAGACCTAGAGTGGCCAAGGTGTACCGTGGTCAGTTGACCTAGAGTGGCCAAGGTGTACCGTGGTCAGTAGACCTAGAGTGGCCAAGGTGTACCGTGGTCAGTAGACCTAGAGTGGCCAAGGTGTACCGTGGTCAGTTGACCTAGAGTGGCCAAGGTGTACCGTGGTCAGTAGACCTAGAGTGGCCAAGGTGTACCGTAGTCAGTAGACCTAGAGTGGCCAAGGTGTACCGTGGTCAGTAGACCTAGAGTGGCCAAGGTGTACTGTGGTCAGTAGACCTAGAGTGGCTTAAGTCGACCGTGGTCAGTAGACCTAGAGTGGCCAAGGTGTACCGTGGTCAGTAGACCTAGAGTGGCCAAGGTGTACCGTAGTCAGTAGACCTAGAGTGGCCGAGGTGTACTGTGGTCAGTAGACCTAGAGTGGCTTAAGTCGACCGTGGTCAGTAGACCTAGAGTGGCCAAGGTGTACCGTGGTCAGTAGACCTAGAGTGGCCAAGGTGTACCGTAGTCAGTAGACCTAGAGTGGCCTAGGTAGTCTATTTTTTTTATCTCTACCATCACAGTGCTGCTCAACATTATACTCGAGAGACAGACTATATAAAGTTTTTCAACCTAGTCAGACAGGATAAGGCATGTTTAGATAGACCATGGTACAAACATGCACAAAGAACAGTGATTTATAACATGGGTTCAATGGAGCCTCACGGGGTTCAGTGAGTCAGTCTTATGGGGGCGGATACTGTTAAAAGTATGTATTTTCTATATAAATTTCATTTCGTTCGGGGCGGGGCGGTGCAGAGCCCACCCGAAGAGCTGCCCGTAAGAAACTCTGGTCCGGCGGAGGTTAAGACAAACGCCCAACACGATATACCATAAGACGTATTGCTATCGTGCTATCTCTATCTAATCGTAGATGTCACGACACACATACGTCACGAATGGTGTCAACGCCACCTATACAGGCGCGCGTTGATCGGCCTGTGATGAACATACTTGTTTACTTCTATATCGTGGTCTAGTAGTCGGCTTGTGACTGCCGTGATGGTAGGTCGTGTGATTTTTTTCTTCATATTTTAATCTTTTCATACTGAATGTCGAGCAGAAAACAAAGCAGTGGGACGAATATGTACAGATGTGTTCACATGTAGAACGGTACTTGATGAGAAAGTTTGCTCACACAAGATACTTGTGCCGATGTTTGACAGCATTATGAACCAAACTGGGATCTGACGTTCAACCCAAACTTACATCTCGTCTGCTGCCATGTCAAACGTCAGCCAGGTTTCCCGCCGTTCTGCCAGTTCTGTGCTGGCACTGACCGGGTTCCGTATTGCCAGAACTGTGTCGTCTGCTGATGACGTAGAACTCATCCTTCTGCTCTCCTGGCGGCTGTTGGAAAGTAAATGTTTGGTCAAGTGCTGCTCAATGTTCACTGACCATTAAACCAAATAGAGGCTCAATGTTCACTGACCATTAAACCAAATAGAGGCTCAATATGCACTAAAGTGAGCTAATTGTCCTGACCTTTGAACTCGCATACCATCGGCTGCTGACCGCACGCGCCCGGCTGTCTGAGGTCGTCTTAAGGGTGTTGGGTCACTGTGACCCGCTGTTTGATCTGCTTCATCTGTCACGTGACAAGTGTCGATCTTTATATGTGGTACACACTTACCCCCCTTACCTTGCCACACACTTACCCCCCTTACCTTGCCACACACTTACCCCCCATACCTTGCCACACACTTACCTCCCTTACCTTGCCACACACTTACCTCCCTTACCTTGCCACACACTTACCTCCCTTACCTTACCACACACTTACCTCCCTTACCTTACCACACACTTACCTCCCATACCTTGCCACACACTTACCCCCCCTTACCTTGCCACACACTAGCCCACTTACCTTGCCACACATTTACCTCCCTTACCTTACCACACACTTACCTCCCTTACCTTACCACACACTTACCTCCCATACCTTGCCACACACTTACCCCCCTTACCTTGCCACACACTTACCTCCCATACTTTGCCACACACTTACCTCCCTTACCTTGCCACACACTTACCTCCCTTACCTTGCCACACACTTACCTCCCATACCTTACCACACACTTACCTCCCATACCTTGCCACACATTTACCCCCCTTACCTTGCCACACACTTACCTCCCTTACCTTGCCACACACTTACCTCCCTTACCTTGCCACACACTTACCCCCCATACCTTGCCACACACTTACCTCCCTTACCTTGCCACACACTTACCTCCCTTACCTTGCCACACACTTAACTCCCTTACCTTACCACACACTTACCTCCCTTACCTTACCACACACTTACCTCCCATACCTTGCCACACACTTACCCCCCCCCTTACCTTGCCACACACTAGCCCACTTACCTTGCCACACATTTACCTCCCTTACCTTACCACACACTTACCTCCCTTACCTTACCACACACTTACCTCCCATACCTTGCCACACACTTACCCCCCTTACCTTGCCACACACTTACCTCCCATACCTTGCCACACACTTACCCCCTTTACCTTGCCACACACTTACCCCCTTACCTTGCCACACACTTACCTCCCTTACCTTGCCACACACTTACCTCCCTTACCTTGCCACACACTTACCCCGCTTACCTTGCCACACACTTACCTCTCTTACCTTGCCACACACTTACCTCCCTTACCTTGCCACACATTTACCCCCCTTACCTTGCCACACACTTACCTCCCTTACCTTGCCACACACTTACCTCCCTTACCTTGCCACACACTTACCTCCCTTACCTTACCACACACTTACCCCCCTTACCTTACCACACACTTACCCCCCTTACCTTGCCACACACTTACCTCCCATACCTTGCCACACACTTACCTCCCTTACCTTGCCACACACTTACCTCCCTTACCTTGCCACACACTTACCTCCCTTACCTTACCACACACTTACATCCCTTACCTTACCACACACTTACCTCCCATACCTTGCCACACACTTACCCCCCCCCTTACCTTGCCACACACTAGCCCACTTACCTTGCCACACACTTACCTCCCTTACCTTACCACACACTTACCTCCCTTACCTTACCACACACTTACCTCCCATACCTTGCCACACACTTACCCCCCTTACCTTGCCACACACTTACCTCCCATACCTTGCCACACACTTACCCCCCTTACCTTGCCACACACTTACCTCTCTTACCTTGCCACACACTTACCTCCCTTACCTTACCACACACTTACCTCCCTTACCTTGCCACACACTTACCTCCCTTACCTTGCCACACACTTACCTCCCATACCTTACCACACACTTACCTCCCATACCTTGCCACACACTTACCTCCCATACCTTGCCACACACTTACCTCCCTTACCTTACCACACACTTACCTCCCATACCTTGCCACACACTTACCTCCCTGACCTTGAAGTGAGACGATTAACGTGTACACCTCATCGTGTCCGCTAGACCTGGCCACCGACCTGGGCGTGTTCCCCTCAGTGTCTCGGGTATCTGCGGCAGCGCCTGGTGACAAGCAAGCAATGGAGGGATTCAATGACAGGCAGGGGCGCCACTCAATGGGGACAGGTAGGCAGGTAGGTGCGCCACTCAATGGGGACAGGTAGGCAGGGGCGCCACTCAATGGGGACAGGTAGTCAGGTAGGTGCGCCACTCAATGGGGACAGGTAGGCAGGGGCGCCACTAAATGGGGACAGACAGCCACGGGCGCCACTCAATGGCTAAAGACAGGCAGGGGCGCTACTCAATGGGGACAGGCAGGCAGGGGTGTAGTTATGTTTACTTTACTACACCTCCTCTAAGCAACTCGCCAGCAAAGTAAGTGGTCCAACCTCCAACAAGATGATGTGTTACTGACACTACACTCCACACACACACACACAGACACATCCAACAATATAATGTGTTACTGCCACTCCACTCCACTTCACACTCCACTCCACACTCCAAACACACACACTCCACACACACACACCACACACACACACACATACACACACACACACATGTCACTTGACCTTTTTCCAGCAGGAGCTGAGCCGCAGCCAACTGTCCGTGTCTAGCCGCGAAGGTCAAGGCCGTCTCCCCTCTGTTGTTTGCCTTGTGGATGTCAGCCCCGGCACTGATGAGCGCCTGTAGGGTGGACAGCGTGCCAGCAGACACGGCCAGCATGAGGGCAGTGTGGCCGTGCAGGTCCTGCACGTTGACATCCGCACCGCTGCTGATGAGCTCCGCCACGATCTCCTCCCTGCCGTACCTGGCAGCCACGGACAGCGCAGTTTGCAGCTTCCTGTTTTCAGCGTTGACGTTGGCCCGGCTTTGAATCAGCGTGCTGACAATGTCGGCGTGACCTCTCCTTGCGGCTATGATCAGGGCCGTGTCACCCCTCTCCTTGTCCACAAACTCACACGTCTTCCTGGCGTCTCCTTTACGCAGCAAGTACTGGACAATGTCCAAGAAACCGTTGTACGTGGCCAGGATGAGCGGGCTGCGCCCAGACCTGTTCTGCGTTTGTGCTGTTGCCCCGAACACGATGAGCAGACGGAGCGCCTTGAGGAAACCGTTGGCCGCGCAGATGCACAGAGCGGAGTTGCCTTCGTTGTCGCTGATGTTGACCTTGGCCTTGTTGTCGAGCAGAAGTTTCATGCACTCGGTGAACCCGTGCTGGCAGCTGTACATTAGAGCAGTCCAGCCGTCATAGCAGGCCAGATCCACGTCAGCACCGCTGGCAAGAAACAGCTGCACCAGCGGCGTCTGCCCACAGTTCGCAGACACCATCAAGACAGTCCGGCCTTTCCTGTCCACTGTGTTGACGTCTGCGCCATAGCTGAGCAGAAGTTGAACCAACTCCACGTCCGCGCTTTGTGTGGCCGCCATCAGGGGAAAGAATCCTTTCTTGCTCCTCCTGTTGATGTCCGCCCCTGCCTCCACCAGGACGTCGACGATTTTCTTCAGGTTCTCGCGGGCGCTAACGTACAGGGCCGTGTGGCCGTCTTTGTTGCAGCGGTCCACCTCTGCCCCGTGCTGTATGAGCAGCTTCACCGTTTTGATGTGGCCTCTGAGGGTGGCGAGAATCAGGGGCGTGTCCCCCTCCACGTCCGCCTTGTTTATGTCTGCGCCGTTGTTCAGCAGCATCTCAACAACTGCCGTGTAGCCGTGCTCCGATGCTAGGGCCAGGGCGGAGCGGCCTTTGTTCATGACCTGATTGACTGAGACTTGGCTCTCCAGGAGAAATCTGACCACGTCCACGTGACCTTTGTGGGCTGCTATCATTAGGCAGTTCCAGCCCTCCGACTCCACGTCTTCTAAGGAGGCGCCACTACGGTGGAGCATATTAAGAATGTCTTCGAATCCACCGTAGGCCGCACACATGGCCGCTGTCCTACCCCGGTCGTTAGAGGCACCAGCTGAGGAGCCTGCGGCTAGAAGCGAGTTAACGGTTGGCGCGAGACCCCGTAGGGCGGCCTTGATTAGGGCGGTGCTCCCGCTGACGTCGATGGCGTTGACCAGGGACCCCGCCTTAAGAAGGATCTCGACGACGGCGAGCTTGCCACACGTGACCGCGTACATGAGCGGCGTGGCGCCAACTTTCCGCTCTGGGCTCGCGGCCTCAGCGCCGTGTGCGAGCAGCAAGCTGACCATCTCGGCACTGCCTGCACGTGCCGCCAAGTCCAGCAGGCTGACACCGCCCTCCCCCTTAAAGTTGACTAACGGGTAGGCCCCTGCTGTGACTCTAGAGCTGAGCACTGTCTGCACAATGTCCTGCAGGTTCAGGCCGAGGGCAAGGGAGAGAACTGTCTCCCGCCTGTAGTTGATGACCTGCTCGTCTGCTCCCGCGGCCAGCAGGGCCTGGACAATGTCCGCATGTCCGTTCATGCAGGCAGATATGAGCGGGCTGTTGCCGTCATCGTCAGTCAAGTTGACGTCGGCGTTAGCTAGCAACAGCTCCTGCACGATGTCCGTGTAGCCCATGGCTGCAGCTAGATGCAGGGCTGAAGCTCCAGTGCCGTCCGTTGTGTTGGGCAGGGCTTTGGCCTCCAGAAGTTTCTTCACACAAGTCAGGTTATCTCCACAGCAGGCTTGCATGAGGGCGGTGCTGCCCCTTTTGTCCACGTGGTTGACCTCTGACCCAGCCTGGAGTAGCAGCTCCACCGTTTCCAGACTTCCGTTACCCGCGCTGATATGCAGGGCAGTGGCACCGGTGACGTCACACATGTTGACGTCAGCACCGTGACTTAAGAGGACCGAGATGGTGGAGTGCTCGTTGTACTGGGCGCTGAACATGAGGGGCGTCCAGCCCTTGTGGTCCCGCTGGTTGACCAGCGCCCCCTGCTGGATCAGCAAGCTGACCACATCCGCTGAGCCCTTGTATGCGGCAAGCATGAGCGCTGACTGACCGCTAACGTTACGGACGTGGATGTCGGCCTTGTGTTCCAGTAGCAAGGTCACGTGACTCCCGGCAAGCACGGCAATCATCAGTGCACTGTTGCCGCGCGCATCCACCAGATTGACCTTGGCCCCATTCTGTAGCAGGACTCGTGTTACATGCTCGTGGTGGGCGGCGGCCGCTGCGATCAAGGGCGTTGTGCCAGCACCGTTGGGGGCGTTCATGTCGGCGCCCACATCCAGCAGCTTGGTCAGCAGCTCGAGCTTGCCCTGCAGGGCGCAGCAGATGAGCGGGGTCAGATCGTTCTTGTCCGAGTCGTCCATGGAGCTCCGCTTGAGAAACTCTTTCATCAGCTCCTCGTCGCTCTTCTTGTATTTGCTGAGGATGTGGTCCGACTCGCCCAGCAGTGACCTCTCGCGCGCCATGCTGGCTGCTCTGGACGCTGACCTTGGCGGCTGGTCGTCGCCCAGTTGACCATCGTCTGGCTGGCCATCGGCCTGCTTTTGCAGTTTTTCTACGATAGCACTCAGCATGGCGGGTGTCTCCCGCCCCATGTTTGTCTCTGGCTCCATACAATCTGGAGATGAAACCATGAGTGGGTTAAACTCCTTGTATCTCAAATTTTTCTCGTATTTCAAAGTAAAAACTTCCCTCACTTAGGGGCTCGTGTGTCAAACATCTCGTGTGTGGGGCATTCGCGTGGCGAGGTAAATTTATAATATACTAGCCGTCCCGGCCAGGCCCTGCTCTGGCTTCTGTGAAAAACCTTTCTGTTAAAGACCATTACCTGTGTGTTTAGTAATCATCATAAACCCGGCATTGCCCACCCAAACCACAACCAACCAAAACAACAAAACGCAAACATAACGCTAACACAATTACAAATACAAACGAAAACAAAAACCTAACAACAAACCCAACCACAACCACAAACACCAATACAAACACAAAGAAAAAACAAACAAAAAAGCAAACGAAAACAAAAACCTAACAACAAACCCAACCACAAACACCAATACCAACAAAAAAAAACAACGAAAAAGCAAACGAAAACAAACCAAATCCAAACGCAAAACCAACCAAAAACACAAATACAAACCCAAACAAAAAGACACAAACAAAAACGAAAAAAGAAAGAACAAAAACGAACCAAATCAAAACGCAACCACTAACGCAAACCCACCTAAACACAAAGAAAACACTAACGCGAACATAAACGCCCGGGGCGGAATCACCTGTTTTAGCTTAATGAACGACTATAGTACCCCAACTTATTCATAGTCTTTTGCACTCACTTAAACGAACGCGCCTGTTTCAATTTAATGAACAATTTTAATACTCCAAGCTTATCCGTAAAATACCTACAACATTTGCACTTGATCAATCCCCGCTAATTATGTAATTTTTTTTTCCCAACACCAAAACAAAGTAATAAAAAGTAAATTATTTTCCACTAATGCAATGGTTTTATAAAGGGAAGTAATTGTGTTTTCCTAATTTGTCAAAGGGAAGTAAGTGCTATAGGACTAAATAAAGACATAATTAGAATTTTTGTAAAAGATTATATTTTTTTAAAACTTGTGTTTAATGAACATGCCGACAATTATTACTATAATTTGAAAAATGAAAATTATTTCCCAACACTTTCAATAGTAATTTTTTAACTTATAAATTTAGACAAATGCGCACGATAATTGTCTAACACTTAAATCCATCCAAGACCAACGACAAACATATGCGTTACATACAGAACTGAGCTTTATATATTAGACTAGCCGTCCCGGCCAGGCCCTGCTCTGGCTTCTGTGAAAAACCTTTCTGTTAAAGACCATTACCTGTGTGTTTAGTAATCATCATAAATCCGGCATTGCCCACCCAAACCACAACCAACCAAAACCAAAACAACAAAACGCAAACATAACGCTAACACAATTACAAATACAAACGTAAACAAAAACCTAAGAACAAACCCAACCACAACCACAAACACCAATACAAACACAAAGAAAAAACAAACAAAAAAGCAAACGAAAACAAAAACCTAACAACAAACCCAACCACAACCACAAACACCAATACCAACCAATAACAACACACACAAAAAACGAAAAAGCAAACGAAAACAAACCAAATCCAAACGCAAAACCAACCAAAAACACAAATACAAACCCAAAGAAAAAACAAAAACAAAAACGAAAAAAGAAAGAACAAAAACGAAACAAATCAAACCGCAACCACTAACGCAAACCCAACCTAAACACAAAGAAAACACTAACGCGAACATAAACGCAAAGTGCTCACAGTCTAGCCCGGGACGGAATCGCCTGTTTTAGCTTAATAAACGACTATAGTACCCAAAACTTTCAATATTAATTTTTTAACTCATAAATTTAGACCATAAGGACTTTAATTATCTAACACTTAAATCCATCTAAGATCCACGACAAACATATGTGTTACATACAGAATTGAGCTTTATATATTAGATTTGTGAGCGGGTGAATGGATGATTTATTTTGTATTATATTTTTGTGTGCGAATCTGTGCGTGAATGTTCTACTGGACAACGGCTACTGGGCTTAACTTCCGGCCATGTCACATGGTATATAAACCGACTGACCGCTCGAATCTTTCTTTTGACCCAAGTTGAGAATGTAGATCTGGTCAATTTCTCTAGGGGGCGCTTGGCGCACCTCGTGCGTGGAGATATTTGCTGTTGTTTTTTTTTTACAATATTTTACTTTTTATATGTATCATTTGTATGAATGTGGCTGCCGATGTGTTTCTCGTTTTCTTTCTTTTTCGACCTTGGCGTGTTTTGTATGCATTATTTGGTATGTATTGTTTTGTTTGTTGTTTTGTTTATATGACATGTGTGTTAAGTGCGGACATTAGATGGCGTTTCGATTACCGTAGGGGATAGGAAGGTTGTCTAAACTATCTGAGGCATAGAAGGTACATAATATTCCATCGAACGTTGTGTGTTTTGTATGTTTTGTTGAGTTTTGTTTAGTCGTGTTTTGGTTTATCTAGATCTAGTTGTTTTTTTTTTTTTTTTTTTTTTTTTTTTTTTGGCATCCTTTCATTAAATATTGGTTCTTTGTAATTATTTGCAATAAATTTCATTAAATTGTTAACGTTTTTTGTGTGTTTTTATCTAGTCTAACGTTAGGATTTAACCACCGTGGGTTTTACCACGGTTTGCAGGGTTTGTTTATATAACGACTAAAAAAATTTGAATAGATAGCACAATTTTTACTCTTTTGCATAACGTGAACACAATATTAAATACACGCACATTGCTAAAACATCAAACAGATCAATATCAAATAATATTTTCACCAAGACTACTACAAAAATTTGATACATTTTAATATCAGTAGGGTCGAAAAAAGTAATTAATTAAAATGTTGAATAATTTTAATTTTTTAAAATTCAACTCACGCTAATTAAAAAACACGTGAATGCAAATTCCGGAGACTTACAAAAGGGAATTATTGTTGGAATATTATAATTTGCATGGATTGATAAAGGGCAATATGCTAGGTAAAACACGGATATTTTAAATACTGCCTTTTATTATTTTTAATCAATAACATTTTAGAAGTCACTCCACAATGTCCTCTATGTTTACTTCTATCTTTCAGTTTGTGGACTAGCTGGGGTTTTATAGTCGTTCACTAAATTGAATCAGGCGAGCCTGCCGGCGCCCGGGTTGGGTTCGATTTGGCGCCCCGTGCTAGACTGTGAGCACTATGCGTTTGTGTTTGCATTTAAGTTGTGTTTATGTTATGCGTGTTGCGTTTGCGTCTGCGTTAATGTTTTCGTTTGTGTTTACTTGCGTTTGTGTTTTATTTTGTGTTAGTGTTATATATATAGTGTTATATATATATATATATATATATATATATATATATATATATATATATATATATATATATATATATATATATAATATTGCGTTGTCATCGGAAATTCACTTAGAAACAGGGAATTTGAAAGAAATCGTTCCATTAGAATGGGTTATAGCTGTTTTAGGAGTATGTTAAAACGGTTTTACAAATCCACATACAAACCAACATTCAAACCCATAAACCTTGTGACTTAATAAAACAATCTCAAATAAACCGGGAGTGATCTCCCCTAAACTTTCTCGAATATTCTTATATAAAATAACAGGGGATGGGAACTCGGGCTATAGACTTCTAGACATGATTTTTAATCCATTTTAAATACTTAAAGTTTTAAAAATAGAATAAAATCTCGTAGACAAATTAATTGCACACCAAGTGAACGCGAATAAAAAAGCGCATAATAGTGCGCAATATTATTAGTACTTTAAAAATTTACATTAGTTTTTTGAGAAATCGGAAGTAGCGTAAATTACTACTTCCGGTCAACGGAAATTACTCAAAATTTAACAGAAGGTAGAGAATTAGATCTTTTACTTACATGTGAAATTTAATTTATCTATCTGAAATAGTACTCAAGTTATAGGCTTTTGAAAAATTCAAAGTAGAAAAAGTACCACTTCCGGTTGTCGGAAATCGCTCAAAAGTTGATACGGATCTACGATTTTGATAAAATACTTATATATGAAATTTCATCAACCTAGCTGTAACGGTACTCAAGTTATCGTGTTTACACACGGACACACACACACACAGACACACAGACATACGGACAAGATTGCAAAATTATGTTTTTCCGTATCAGTGAGATGCAAAACGTCGAGATTTGCAAAAATCTCGATTTTTTTTTTTGCACGATTACAAGACTTTCTCTATACTTCGTATATACGAGAAAGTAAAAAATTGTGCCATCTCGGATTTATAAGTGAAGATATTCAACTTGTATTCTCGATACTTAACCTACCGATACTTAGCCTCCCGATACTTATCCTACCGATACTTGATTTCACGATACTCATGATACTTAAGTACCAGGTATCGCTGGCTTTTATTTTGTTTTAGCACATTCGGCCTAGACTTTCTCAGATCATGCCGTCAATTGATTACTAGATTTAAAGATTTCTTTTACCTTATTGATAAGTCCTCTTGGCTGCGACTGACTGTGCTAGCTTTGACTTTATGGCTGTGACTGTGGTAGCTTTGACTTTATGGCTGCGACTGTGCTAGCTGCGAGTTCCCACAAAACATCAGCCAACGTGTGTCGAAGTGTGTAGTGTGCTGACCATGTATACCTGCTGACGTAGCTCAGGCTTTCAGTCCCATGTCTAATCGAACTTGGAAAATTGATTTTTTGATCGATCGGTTTGAAAATTGATTTCTTATCGGGCGCTCGTCTTAACGTGTGAACATGTAGCATTAAACGTCTTCATGTGTCTTCATGTCAACAATATGTCATGACTTCACATGTCATCCAATGATTTTATGTCTGCAATAAGTCATGTCTTTAACATGTCATCAGATTTCATGTCATTATATCTGAAGTGTCTTGTTATCATATTTAACCATGTTTCTTAGATTTATTCATTAATCTTCAAATATCACCACGTCTTCAAATGTCATCTTTTTTCATATGTCATCGTTTGTTTTTAGATGACATCATTTATTTCGATGTCATTATTTATTTTTCAGATGTTCTACTTTGTCATCAGATATCAACATTTTTCTTTAGATGTTATCATATATTTTCAGATGTCATCATTTGACTTCAGATGACATCATTTATTTTTAGATCTCATGTCTTCAGAGCTCGTAATGTGACGTCATAAGTCTTCTAACAACAACATAACATAATTACGTAACACATCACAAAGACCCTTTTCCGGCGCCCGAGTGAGGTATCAATTTTACGCCACCTCAATACCAAGTGTCCATATATAGGCCTATATATGTATGTATATATATATATATATATATATATATATATATATATATATATATATATATATATATATATATATATATATATATATACTAGCTGCATCCCGTGCTCCGCCACGGTAAATCTTTTTTAAATGTACCAACTTGGGAACAGAACAAAACTAAACATAACACAAACGAACGCAAAAAAAAAACGAAAAAACAAACACAACACTCATAACATAAACACAATTTAAATGCAATCATAAAGACATATTGCTCACAGTCTAGCCCGTAGCGCCAAATCGCGCCCTTTCCGGTGATTTGCACCCCCCCCCCCAAACTTTCGATTTGCACCCCTCCTCCCCCCCTAAAACTTTCGATTTCCACCCCCCCCCCCCCTCGCAAATTTTTTCCAACCCACTTTGGCGCCCCCCTGAGGTCGGCACCCGGGGACATATGCCACCCCCCCCTCGCTACGCCTCTCCTATAAAACCCGAAAGATAGAATAATAATTAGAAAACAGTATAAATAATAGGGAGTATTTAAAATATCCGTGTTTTACCTACAATATTTCACTTTATCCATTCACGCATTTTTTTCCAGTACTTTAAAATTTACAAAAGAGTTTCATAACTAAAACCATTGCGCACCTAATGAACGTGATGACGCGTCTATAATAGTGCTGAATAGTTAATTAAAAATTATAAGTAATAAACAGTAGGGCCTACATTCAGTGAATAAAATAAATAAAAGAATGCCTTTTATCAATCCATGCTAATTATAATTTTCTAACAATAATTTCCTCTTACACATCCGAATAATTTGCATTCACATTTTGCTAATTATATTATTGCAACACTAATTCCTTCTATGACGACCGTATATTTGCATTCACATTTTTTATTAGCATGAGTTTAATGTATTTTTAAATTACCTCCTTTGTCAAAATTAGAAAAGGGTTAAATTAATTTGATTTTTCTACCGTACTGTTATTATGTTATTAAAATGTATCCACTTTTTCTAGGAATGTTAACGAAAACTATATTTGACATTGATCCTTTTAATATGTTTTAGCAATGTGCGTGTATTTAATATTCTCTTTACGTTATGCAAAATTGTACAAACAGTGGAAATTATAAAATAGCTCTATTCCGCTATATAAACAAACCCTACTCTAATACTTATAATAAGACACTGCGGTGCACTGAAAAGCACAGCATGGTGCGTAGTTAACTTTTATGGTCCCAAAATCTATAGCGATGACGGACGGAAGGAAGGAAGGAAGGACAGACACAGCCCGCTTATATTATAGATAGATATATATATATATATATATAAGGGGGGATGCAATGTATGTGTGTATGTGTGTGTCTTTTATGCATTACTTCACCTTTCATCCGATCACCATCAAACTTTGGGAAGTTGTTGAGAATAATCCTGGGGGGGTTCCTTCGAAAAAAAATATTTTGATTTTGCAGGGGTGGCGCCCCGGCAGGGCTCGATTTGTTTGTTTTTTCTCTTTATACGGAATATAAAAATAAAAGTCGATTGTTGTTTCACACCGTTCATCCGATCACCATCAAACTTTGGTGAGTTCATTAGAACATTCCAGAACTGTGTTCTGTAAAAGCATCCTTTTTAATTTCGCAACGGCGGCGCCCCGGAAGGGTGGGATTTTTTTCAATATACGGTGTATAAAAATAAAAGTCGATTGCGGTTTTACACTGTTCATCCGATCGCCATCAAACTTTGGGGAGTTAATTAAAACACTCCATGGAAGGGTTTTGTAAAAAATTCTTTTTAATTTCGCAAGGGCGGCACCCCGGAAGGGTGCAATTTTTCTCTATACACGGTATATAAAAATAACAGTCGATTGTGGTTTTACACCGTTCATCCGATCGCTATCAAACTTTGGGGAGTTAATTAAAACACTCCAGGAAGGGTTCAGTAAAAAAAAATGTTCTTTTTAATTTCGCAAGGGCGGCACCCCGGCCCGGAAGGGTGCAATTTTTCTCTATATACGGTATATAAAAATAAAAGTCGATTGTGGTTTTACACCGTTCATCCGATCGCTATCAAACTTTGAGGAGTTGATTAAAACACTCCAGGAAGGGTTCAGTAAAAAAATGTTCTTTTTAATTTCGCAAGGGTGGCGCCCCGGGAGGGTGAGAATTTTCTCTATATACGATATTTAAAAATAAAAGTCAATTGTGATTTTACACAGTACATCCGATCGCCATCAAACTTTGGGGAGTTGATTAAAACACTCCAGGGAAGGATTCTGTAAAAACATCCATTTTAATTTCACAAGGACGGCGCCCTGGGAGGGAGCGATTCTTCTCTATATACGGTGTATTAAAAAAATGAATGTCAGATGCGGTTCGACACCGTTTATCCGAGTGCCATAAAACTTTAAAATACAGCATCTGGACAAATCTAAAGCCCCTAAGGGATTTTTCCCACGGGAATAATGTTTTTTGTTACCCTCCAGGGTCAGTCTACGATTTCACAACATATCAAGGGGAGGGGGTTCGTTCGACAAAAGTTTTTTTCCGTAGTATAGCTCATATAAGGCGCCGGTCAGTCGAAGTTAATTTTGGACTTCGTGGACTTTGCGGCCAACCGGCACCGGCCCCCGTGTTCTATTGCCCCAAGGCAGGAGCCTGCCAAATTGGCGGCGCCGGGAAGTGCCCTATCGGGCACCCGACCACTTTGCTGTACCAAGTATATATATATATATATATATATATATATATATATATATATATATATATATATATATATATATATATATATATATATATATACTAGCCGTCCCGGCCAGGCCCTGCTCTGGCTTCTGTGAAAAACCTTTCTGTTAAAGACCATTACCTGTGTGTTTAGTAATCATCATAAACCCGGCATTGCCCACCCAAACCACAACAAACCAAAACCAAAACAACAAAACGCAAACATAACGCTAACACAATTACAAATACAAACGAAAACAAAAACCTAACAACAAACCCAACCACAAACACCAATACAAACACAAAGAAAAAACAAACAAAAAAGCAAACGAAAACAAAAACCTAACAACAAACCCAACCACAACCACAAACACCAATACCAACCAATAACAACACACACAAAAAAAACGAAAAAGCAAACGAAAACAAACCAAATCCAAACGCAAAACCAACCAAAAACACAAACACAAACCCAAAGAAAAAAACACAAACAAAAACGAAAAAAAGAAAGATAAAAAACGAACCAAATCAAACCGCAACCACTAACGCAAATTCAACCTAAACACAAAGAAAACACTAACGCGAACATAAACGCAAAGTGCTCACAGTCTAGCCCGGGGCGGAATCGCCTGTTTTAGCTTAATAAACGACTATAGTACCCCAACTTATTCATAGTCTTTTGCACTCACTTAAACGAACGCACCTGTTTCAATTTAATGAACAATTATAATACTCCAAGCTTATCCGTAAAATACCTACAACATTTGCACTTGATCAATCCCCGCTAATTATGTAATTATTTTTTTTCCCAACACCAAAACAAAGTAATAAAAAGTAAATTATTTTCCACTAATGCAATGGTTTTATAAAGGGAAGTAATTGTGTTTTCCTAATTTATCAAAGGGAAGTAAGTGCTATAGGATAAATAAAGACATAATTAGAATTTTTGTAAAAGATGATATTTTTTAAAACTTGTGTTTAATGAACATGCCGAAAATTATTACTTTCAGTTTGATAAATGAAAATTATTTCCCAATACTTTCAATATTAATTTTTTAACTCATAAACTTAGACCATAAGGACTTTAATTATCTAACACTTAAATCCATCGAAGATCCACGACAAACTTAGTGTTTCATACAGAATTGAGCTTACATACATATATATATATATATATATATATATATATATATATATATATATATATATATATATATATAGGTAAGTAAGTTTGTATATACACATGTGTATATGTCAGGGGTCGGCAACCTGCGGCTCGCGAGCCGCATGCGGCTCTTTTGATATCAAGGTGCGGCTCTCCAGCTCCTTGCACAAATACTAATAATTTTAATTAAAAAAAAAATATTTGTAATAAAAAAAATGTTAGTGGCTCTTTAAAACCAAGGAAATTTTGAAAATTGTAAGTTTTGGCTCTTTCGCTTCAAAAGGTTGCCGACCCCTGGTATATGTATTCACATATATTTTTTATGTATTTAATTTATTACTTCACCACCCACCCCTCGTACATGGATTAACATATAAGTTATTACGATTCTCAACCAAACAGTTTAGCTCATGCATTTGTTACAATGTTGAGTTAATGTAAAATAATGTTTTTATTGCATCACCAACACATAGGAAGCAAGTAAGATTATTTCATGTTTGGCAAGCCCACCTAGACTGTCAAACTTTGTTTTGATCTACGAATATTATATTTCTGATAGCAACTTTAATGTTTAATGTAATGTAATGTGTGTGTGTGTGTAATTTCTATAATGTTTGAGTTGTAAAAACCACTTCCTATTTTTCACGCGTGATTTAGTCATTGAATGGTATCCATAGATAATGTCCACAGATAATATTTACAGATAGGATAAGGGAGATAACCGATATATCTGCGTGCATACACCCTTTATGGATGACCCTAGTTTGGATGGTCCCCCATCATGTGTTTTACCATCAATCATGTGTTCTACCATCATGTGCTGTACCATCATGTGCTGTATTATCATGTGTTCTACCATCATGTGTTGTACCATTGTGTGTTCTACCATCATGTGTTGTACCATCATGTGCTGTATTATTATGTGTTCTACCATCATGTGTTGTATTATCATGTGTTCTACCATCATGTGCTGTACCATTGTGTGCTACCATCATGTGTTGTACCATCATGTGTTCTACCATCATGTGTTGTACCATCATGTGTTCTACCATCATGTGCTGTATCTTTATGTGTTCTACCATCATGTGTTCTACCATCATGTGTTCTACCATCATGTGCTGCACCATCATGTGCTGTATCGTTATGTGTTCTACCATCATGTGTTCTACCATCATGTGTTCTACCATCATGTGCTGTACCATTGTGTGTTCTACCATCATGTGTTGTACCATCATGTGTTCTACCATCATGTGTTCTACCATCATGTGCTGCACCATCATGTGTTGTACCATCATGTGCTGTATCTTTATGTGTTCTACCATCATGTGTTCTACCATCATGTGTTCTACCATCATGTGTTGTACCATCATGTGTTCTACCATCATGTGTTCTACCATCATGTGATCTACCATCATGTGCTGTACCATCATGAGTTTTCCCATCAAAAAACATGTTGTTACTGGGTGCTCTTATCTGAGCAAACTTTGACCTACTAATTTTTTTGAAGCGCAACCCATTTCATTCACAATCTAACATGCAAAAATCTTTAGCAACCCATTTCATTCACAATCTAACATGCAAAACATCTTTAGCAACCCATTTCATTCACAATCTAACATGCAAAAATCTTTAGCAACCCATTTCATTCACAATCTAACATGCAAAAATCTTTAGCAACCCATTTCATTCACAATCTAACATGCAAAACATCTTTAGCAACCCATTTCATTCACAATCTAACATGCAAAACATCTTTTGCAACCCATTTCATTCACAATCTAACATGAAAAACATCTTTAGCAACCCATTTCATTCACAATCTAACATGCAAAATCTTTAGCAACCCATTTCATTCACAATCTAACAAAGTAACATGCATAACATCTTTAGCAACCCATTTCATTCACAATCTAACAAAGTAACATGCAAAACATCTTTAGCAACCCATTTCATTCACAATCTAACAAAGTAACATGCAAAACATCTTTAGCAACCCATTTCATTCGCAATCTAACATGCAAAAATCCAGAGGCGTAGCGACCCTTCCCGGCGCCCGGGGACATACTTTCAATTTGGCGCCCCCTTGGGAGCAAATTTTCGATTTGCACCCCCCCCCCCCTCTCGAACTTTTCATTTGCACCCCCCCCCCCTCAAACTTTCGATTTGCACCCCCCCCCCCCTCGAACTTTTCATTTGCACCCCCCCTCAAACTTTCAATTTGGCGCCCCCCTAAGGTCGGCGCCCGGGGACATATGCCCCCCCCCCCCTCGCTACGCTACTGCAAAAATCTTTAGCAACCCATTTCATTCACAATCTAACATGAAAAATCTTTAGCAACCCATTTCATTCACAATCTAACATGAAAAATCTTTAGCAACCCATTTCATTCACAATCTAACATGCAAAACATCCATAGCAACCCATTTCATTCACAATCTAACATGCAAAAATCTTTAGCAACCCATTTCATTCACAATCTAACATGCAAAAATCTTTAGCAACCCATTTCATTCACAATCTAACATGCAAAATATCTTTAGCAAACATGCAACTAATAAAGACCCATTATACAACTAGCATACAACAAAAAACTCAAACAACCGAAATACAATCGTGATCGCACCAGTCTGAGTAGCAGCAATGTTCACCAGACAATCATGATTGTCTGGATTCCTCACTTTTTGTATGGCTTCTCATGACTGATGACCGCAAACGTATGACTGATAACGGCAGATCTATACCTGATGACTTTAAACGTACGACAAACGCTTGCAGGCTCATGGCACAAGCGCTGTGACATACTCATGACAGACGACTCATGACAGACGACTCATGACAGACGACTCATGACAGACGACTCACGACAGACGACTCATGACAGACGACTCACGACAGACGACTCATGACAGACGACTCACGACAGACAACTGATGACAGACATTAAAAACATACGGTAGGCTAAGTGTGAGACAATCACCCATCAGTTGTAGGACCAAGGTCAAGGCCAAACGAAGTGTAGAAATGCGATTAGATAAGAGCTATCAAACAACAAGCTTGGTCAAGCCACCATTTGTAACCTAAAACTCTTGCTCGTTGCTTTTCTGGTTGGTAAGTCGCTCCTTGCTTGTTGGGTTAGTTCATCCAAGTACTCATCATTTGTCTTAGTCTTCACTTTTAGTCAAGCAATCACCACTTGTGTTGGTCACTACGTCTGTTGGTCACCACGTGTGTTGGTCACCATTTGTGGTGGTCACCACGTGTGTTGGTCACCACTTGTGTTGATCACCACTTGTGTTGGTCACCACTCACCACTTATATTAGTCACCACGTCTGTGGGTCACCACTCACCACTTGTGTTGGTCACCACGTCTGTTGGTCAGCACGTCTGTTGGTCACCACGTGGGTTGGTCACCACGTCTGTTGGTCACCACGTCTGTTGGTCACCACTCACCACTTATGTTGGTCACCACTTGTGTTGGTCACCACTTGTGTTGGTCACCACGTCTGTTGGTCACCACGTGGGTTGGTCACCACGTCTGTTGGTCACCACGTCTGTTGGTCACCACTCACCACTTATGTTGGTCACCACTTGTGTTGGTCACCACTTGTGTTGGTCACCACGTCTGTTGGTCACCACTTATGTTGGTCACCACTTGTGTTGGTCACCACGTCTGTTGTTCACCACTTGTGTTGGTCACCACTTATGTTGGTCACCACTTGTGTTGGTCACCACGTCTGTTGTTCACCACTTGTGTTGGTCACCACGTCTGTTGTTCACCACTTGTGTTGGTCACCACTTGTGTTGGTCACCACGTCTGTTGTTCACCACTTGTGTTGGTCACCACTTATGTTGGTCACCACTTGTGTTGGTCACCACTTGTGTTGGTCACCACGTCTGTTGTTCACCACTTGTGTTGGTCACCACGTGTGTTGGTCACCACTTGTGTTGGTCACCACGTCTGTTGGTCACCACTTGTGTTGGTCACCACGTCTGTTGTTCACCACTTGTGTTGGTCACCACGTCTGTTGTTCACCACTTGTGTTGGTCACCACGTCTGTTGTTCACCACTTGTGTTGGTCACCACGTGTGTTGGTCACCACTTGTGTTGGTCACCACGTCTGTTGGTCACCACTTGTGTTGGTCACCACGTCTGTTGGTCACCACTTGTGTTGGTCACCACGTCTGTTGGTCACCACTTATGTTGGTCACCACTTGTGTTGGTCACCACGTCTGTTGTTCACCACTTGTGTTGGTCACCACTTATGTTGGTCACCACTTGTGTTGGTCACCACGTCTGTTGGTCAGCACGTCTGTTGGTCACCACTCACCACTTGTGTTGGTCACCACTTGTGTTGGTCACCACTTGTGTTGGTCACCACTTGTGTTGGTCACCACGTGTGTTGGTCACCACGTCTGTTGGTCACCACTTGTGTTGGTCACCACGTCTGTTGGTCACCACTTATGTTGGTCACCACTTGTGTTGGTCACCACGTCTGTTGTTCACCACTTGTGTTGGTCACCACTTATGTTGGTCACCACTTGTGTTGGTCACCACGTCTGTTGGTCAGCACGTCTGTTGGTCACCACTCACCACTTGTGTTGGTCACCACTTGTGTTGGTCACCACTTGTGTTGGTCACCACTTGTGTTGGTCACCACGTCTGTTGGTCACCACTTGTGTTGGTCAGCATGTCTGTTGGTCACCACGTCTGTTTTATTTGCAGATTGGATAATTCTTCATTAAATTAATGATTATCACACGTCTTAAGCACCAGACATCTGTGTTGGAACTGACCTACAGACATCTGTGTTGGAACTGAGCTACAAGATGAAGTTGGCCGCTAGCAGTTGTCTCAGCAAGTGGAATGTACTTCTGGCCTGGCCTGCGTTTGTCCTCTACGTCGTTGGGTTTGCCTCACCCTACTGGCTGGCCAAGGAGTTCCTTCTACCCCCTCAACCACCAGCCCTCCCGAATCCGCTGCCAGTGAAGGCCAACATGGGCCTGTACACCGCATGCCAGGAGGTGTCGTACCCCACACCTAACGGCACCTCAGTGGTCAACGATTGCAGCTCTGATGGAGGTAGGTCCAGCTTGTGTCTTCACTGTCCAGCTTGTGTCTTCACTGTCCAGCTTGTGTCTTCACTGTCCAGCTTGTGTCTTCACTGTCCAGCTTGTGTCTTCACTGTCTAGCTTGTGTCTTCACTGTCCAGCTTGTGTCTTCACTGTCCAGCTTGTGTCTTCACTGTCCAGCTTGTGTCTTCACTGTCCAGCTAGTGTCTTCCCTGTCTAGCTTGTGTCTTCACTGTCCAGCTTGTGTCTTCACTGTCCAGCTTGTGTCTTCACTGTCCAGCTTGTGTCTTCACTGTCCAGCTTGTGTCTTCACTGTCTAGCTTGTGTCTTCACTGTCCAGCTTGTGTCTTCACTGTCCAGCTTGTGTCTTCACTGTCCAGCTTGTGTCTTCACTGTCCAACTTGTGTCTTCACTGTCCAGCTTGTGTCTTCACTGTCCAGGTTGTTCTTCATTGTGTCTTCACTGTCCAGCTTGTGTCTTCACTGTCCAGCTTGTGTCTTCACTGTCCAGCTTGTGTCTTCACTGTCCAACTTGTGTCTTCACTGTCCAGCATGTGTCTTCACTGTCCAGCTTGTGTCTTCACTGTCCAGCTTGTGTCTTCACTGTCCAGCTTGTGTCCTCACTGTCCAGGTTGTTCTTCATTGTGTCTTCACTGTCCAGCTTGTGTTCACTGTCTAGCTTGTGTCTTCACTGTCCAACTTGTGTCTTCACTGTCCAACTTGTGTCTTCACTGTCCAGCTTGTGTCTTCACTGTCCAACTTGTGTCTTCACTGTCCAGCTTGTCTTCACTGTCCAGCTTGTCTTCACTGTCCAACTTGTGTCTTCACTGTCCAACTTGTGTCTTCACTGTCCAGCTTGTGTCTTCACTGTCCAGCTTGTCTTCACTGTCCAGGTTGTTCTACATTGTGTCTTCACTGTCCAACTTGTGTCTTCACTGTCCAGCTTGTCTTCACTGTCCAGCTTGTCTTAACTGTCCAGCTTGTGTCTTCACTGTCCAGCTTGTGTCTTCACTGTCCAGCTTGTGTCTTCACTGTCCAGCTTGTGTCTTCACTGTCCAGCTTGTGTCTTCACTGCTAGTCCTCATGCGCTCTTACTGTAGCTAGGTATACAACGTAATGCTATTTGCGATCTAGAGGTAGAACTGACCTGTTCCCATCTAGAGGTAGAACTGACCTGTTCCCATCTAGAGGTGGAACTGACCTGTTCCCATCTAGAGGTAGAACTGACCTGTTCCCATCTAGACCTTGAACTGACCTGTTCCCATCTAGAGCTAGAACTGACCTGTTCCCATCTAGAGGTAGAACTGACCTGTTCCCATCTAGAGGTGGAACTGACCTGTTCCCTTCTAGAGGTGGAACTGACCTGTTCCCATCTAGAGGTGGAACTGACCTGTTCCCATCTAGAGGTGGAACTGACCTGTTCCCATCTAGAGGTGGAACTGACCTGGTTCCCTTCTAGAGCTAGAACTGACCTGTTCCCATCTAGAGGTAGAACTGACCTGTTCCCATCTAGAGCTAGAACTGACCTGTTCCCATCTAGAGGTGGAACTGACCTGTTCCCTTCTAGAGGTGGAACTGACCTGTTCCCATCTAGAGGTGGAACTGACCTGTTCCCATCTAGAGGTGGAACTGACCTGTTCCCATCTAGAGGTGGAACTGACCTGTTCCCTTCTAGAGCTAGAACTGACCTGTTCCCATCTAGAGGTAGAACTGACCTGTTCCCATCTAGAGGTGGAACTGACCTGTTCCCTTCTGTGTAGCGGCTGACTGGCAGTACATCTCTGTGGGGCTGGCCATTGGGGGCCTGGCCCTGACGGCGCTAGCTCTGCTCCTGGCCTGTCTTCACGTCTGCAACAGAAAGTGTACAGGGAGCCGTGGAATCAAATGGGCCGTCACAATCTGCAACCTCGGCAGTTGTAAGTAGTAGCATAAATCCTCTATTACAAATTGTAGTAGTAGCATAATTATGTGCAACATTGTGCTTTAGTAGAATAAATCATCTGTTGACTAAATTATTTGTAATATCATTAGTAGAACTTTACAACCTCAGTAACATAATTAATTAGTAACATTCGTGTAGTACTAAATTCATGAATAGCATCACGTCATTAGTAAATAATTATTTTACTAACCTTATCGACACGACCTCTGGAGCCCCCTACGCCCAACTGAAATTACCTTAATAGACATGACCTCCCCCCCCCCCCCCCCACGTTGGAATGACCAGTATTGACCTATGACCTCCGCCAGGTGGAATGATCACAGCGCCACTCGTCATGTACGCCACCAACCGGAAATTCCAGGTCAAGCCGCCCCTGCCCTACGAGTACGACTTTGAGTTTGCTTGGGCATACCACGTGACCACGGCATGTGCTTGCTTGCTGGCCATCCTGACCTTTTTTAACGTCCTTGACCTCGTATGGTGAGTAGTGGTTTAATACAGGGATAGTAAGAGGAAATGATGATGTAGTTTTTATGCAGCTTTACAAGCTTTTGTTTAACTCACTTCCTCGTCAGTCTGTCGTCAGTCTAGATCGAAACGCCGGAGCGAAAATTCGGACACTTCTAACTGACAGATACGGTTCTTAGTTTGTACATGGGTCAAGACATGAAGACAATGCAATCTGAAATGAAATTTGACTTAATTGGATGCCTAATTAATTTTTTATGAATCAATTAAAATTTGGACCAAATTAGTAGGTATGTCTATCCAACCACACCACACGCGTCATCACGTTCAATAGCTGCGCCATCACGTTCAATAGGCGCGCAACGGTTTTTAGTCATGTAACTCTACTGTAATAAAACATGTAGAGTACTGAAAAAATTCATAAAAAACGTTTTAATGACAAGCTTTTATGTAATAATGCACTAAAGAGTAGAAAATAAATTATACACTACTATTTAAATTACTATAAAGAAAACCGTGGGTCTCTTCCTAAACATTAGTAAAGGTATCAAATAGATACTAAAGTGACCCACGCTTTTTTTTTATAGTTATTTAAATACACACACACACACATTCCTCTCCACCATCTTGGACAAAGTTGGTAGAGCAGGGTTTAACTTTTTAAATAATTACACAATCTTACAATGCGCTTTAGTACAATTAGTTTCTTTTCTTAGTGATAAAGGTTATCCACTCCCCGATCCAGTGTGAATCCTTGCAATTTTATATAGCAAAAAAGTCCCCCCTTCTTCCCCCTACCCCCTTTCTTCCTCCCTACCCCCCCCCCCTACTGCACCATCTTGATAAAAGTCACTACGGTTGAACAATCGTACAATACGTTTTAATACAATTGTTTTTCTTTTATAAGTGGTAACATTTATCAACTCACCAATCTAGTGTAAATTCTTCCAATTTTGGTCGCGAAAAAGCGCACCCCCCCCCCCCCCTTCATCTACGAAAAGCTGAAAGCGGTTTTTGCCGGTCACTGTTACTTAAGGATATATGCTTTACAGTTACATAATCAAGGTAGAAACAGTTAAATCAGTATGTAAAGGCTTGTAGCAATTACATTTCTTAACTTAGACTGTATATAATTCAAAACAGCAGCATAAAAATCTGCTTAAAAAAATTTCTACCCCTTTTGGGGGTGTAGAACAAAAGGCCGACATCCAAAAGGCCGACAAGACAAAAGGCCGACACGGACAAAAGGCCGACATGGAAAAAAGGCCGACAGCCAAAAGTCCGACAGGACATAAGGTCGACAAGCATAAAAAATACTAATATCGCAAAATATAAATACATGTTACTGCATGCAGAAAGGGGAAACAGAACTACACTTGAATTTTAACGTGGCGTAGCGTACAATTTGTCATACTAGACCCTATTTTTTTTGTATTTTGTAATATACCTTTATCATTATGTAACTAGTTTTCAGTAAAAATTAAACATGTCTGTAATTGTAGTTTGTTGTTTTATAAAACGTGTCGGCCTTTTGTTTTGTCGGCCTTTTGGCTGTCGGCCTTTTGTCTTGTCGGCCTTTTGTCCATGTCGGCCTTTTTTCCGTGCCGGCCTTTTGTCCGGATCCCCCCTTTTGGCGCCCCCCTAGGGTCGGCACCTGGGGCGGCCTCCCCCACCTCCCAGCTACGCCTCTTCCCCAGGGGCGCCAGTTACGACCCCTAGTTTGGTTTGATCATCGAATGTGGTGTGCCAGGTGTCCCTATTGTAGGGCGCTCTTTAAAACGAATGTGAATGCCGCAGAGCTCACGTGGAGAGTCCGGGTTGACTGATCAGGGCGCCGGGGGAACGCTCTAATTCGCCTTAGTTAACTGTTTTAGTAACCAAATCGCATTCTATCGTGGCGCCGGAGGGCACGTATCATTCGATTTTGTGAACGATTATTAGTAGCTTATCGTACCCATAGTGTATCGCAATCTATAAAACGAACGCAGACGCAATAATACTCAAGTCATACCCACAAGCGGCTACGCTCCTCCGTAATTTATAAATATTTGAATTATTTGTTCGCGGAAACCTTCCCAGACACCTTCTCAGCAATTTCCCAACGTTTCATGGCAATCGGGTAAAAGGTGGAGTAATAGATTAAGGACAAACTAATAAACCCACAGTTTAAATATTGTGTGTTTAGGGGAGATCATTCTCGCTTTATTTTAAAAGTGGCTTCACTTTTTTTACTTTCTCGTATATACGAAGTATAGAGAAAGTCATGTAATCGTGCAAAAAAAAAATCGAGATTTTTACGAATCTCGACGTTTTACACCTCACTGATACGGAAAAACATAATTTTGCAATCTTGTCCGTATGTCTGTGTGTCTGTGTGTCTGTCTGTCCGTGTGTAAACACGATAACTTGAGCACCGTTACAGCTAGGTTGATGAAATTTCATATATAAGTATTTTATCAAAATCGTAGATCCGTATGAACTTTTGAGCGATTTCCGATAACCGGAAGTGGTACTTTTCCTACTTTGAATTTTTCAAAAGCCTATAACTTGAGTACTATTTCAGATAGATAAATGAAATTTCGCATGTAAGTAAAAGATCTAATTCTCTACCTTCTGTTAAATTTTGAGTAATTTCCGTTGACTGGAAGTAGTACTTTACGCTACTTCCGATTACTCAAAAAACTAATGTAAATTTTAAAAGTACTAATAATATTGCGCACTATTATGCGCTTTTTTATTTGGCGTTCACTTGGTGTGCAATTAATTTGTCTACGAGATTTTATTCTATTTTTAAAACTTTAAGTATTTAAAATGGATTTAAAAATCATATCTATAGCCCGAGTTCCCATCCCCTGTTATTTTATATAAGAATATTCGAGAAAGTTTAGGGGAGATCACTCCCGGTTTATTTCAATGATACAATTATGATTAGTTTTTACAAGTTTTAAAAATCTAAATTAAGGTTAGGGATGGATTTAACTAATATTTATAACGGGATGCTTACTTGTAGTTGACTTTGTGCCATAGATGACGGTGTCATACTAGTAACGTTTACTTGCTCCTCAGGTCAGAACCAGATGACATTGAAGAAGAGAAAGTGCTAACCAAGTTTAACCACATCCAGAAGCCATAGGCCAGCCCTGCACAATCATCCTGGGACATGGCACTCAGGCCAGTTGATACTGGACGTGTGCCCATGACGGTACGTCACCTGGATGATGCAGGGACTGGGACTGGATAATGCAGGGACTGTCACCTGGATGATGCAGGGACTGGGACGGTCACCTGGATAATGCAGGGACTGGTCACCTGGATGATGCAGGGACTGGGACGGTCACTTGGATGATGCAGGGACTGGGACGGTCACCTGGATGATGCAGGGACTGGTCACCTGGATAATGCAGGGACTGGTCACCTGGATGATGCCGGGACTGGGACGGTCACCTGGATGATGCAGGGACTGGTCACCTGGATGATGCAGGGACTGGGACGGTCACCTGGATGATGCAGGGACTGGGACTGGATAATGCAGGGACTGTCACCTGGATGATGCAGGGACTGGGACGGTCACCTGGATAATGCAGGGACTGGTCACCTGGATGATGCAGGGACTGGGACGGTCACCTGGATAATGCAGGGACTGTCACCTGGATAATGCAGGGACTGTCACCTGGATGATGCAGGGACTGGGACGGTCACCTGGATGATGCAGGGACTGGTCACCTGGATAATGCAGGGACTGTCACCTGGATGATGCAGGGACTGGGACGGTCACCTGGATGATGCAGGGACTGGGACGGTCACCTGGATGATGCAGGGACTGGGACGGTCACCTGGATGATGCAGGGACTGGGACGGTCACCTGGATGATGCAGGGACTGGGACGGTCACCTGGATGATGCAGGGACTGGGACGGTCACCTGGATGATGCAGGGACTGGGACGGTCACCTGGATGATGCAGGGACTGTGTGATGCAAGGACGGCCGTTTTATCGTCCACTTAGAACAAAAGACTGTCAATGAGAAGAACAGCTAAAAATAAATGTGGTACACATGAATACCTTACCATGTGTGAATGTTTTTCATCAGTTGGGTGGGATGGTATGTAGTGATGTCACTTAAAGTTTAACATAAAGCGTGCACATAACACTGTATGAGTATGGTCTAACTTTGTAGTGATTTATGTCACTTGAAGTGTGTGCATAACACTGTATGAGTATGGTCTAACTTGGTTACTTCTCCAATCATGCCGAGTAGAGATGACAGCCATATGCCATTAAAAGGTCACAAATTGAGGCCGTCTGACATTCTCTGCACCGAGACCACAACTTGTGAATTTGACCTTCACTGAGGACATCCGTAATTTTACCTCCACCCCCTTTTAGGAAAACTCTTCTATTGAGGTAGATTAGATGTTCTAGCCTGGCTTATTTATATTACTTGACCTCACAGCCACCAAACTAAAATACAAGATATACCCTACACATCCCTCCTACTCCTAGTAATTGAGCTCAGCATGCTCAGTCAGTGGATCCCTTTTTAATTTCTCGTTTATGAAGCATACAGGAAGTTAAACAATCGTTCAAATAGTTGTAATATAGACATTTTTACACCTCTATAAGTCAATTTTTTAAAATATTTTTGTTGATGTCTGTTACAATAATTTCAGTGGCTTAAGTAGACGAAATTTTAAACATCAGGAATAATTGTGTACCGAAGTATGACTACAAACATCAGGAATAATTGTGTACCAAAGTATGACTACAAACATCAGGAATAATTGTGTACCAAAGTATGACTACAAACATCAGGAATAATTGTGTACCGAAGTATGACTACGCTTTCAGAGGTCTAAAAATTTCGTCTACTTCTACACGACAGATTTCTTCAAAACTTTTCACGGTCCAAACTTGACAAAAATGATTTTTTATTGACATTTCATTTGGCCGAATTAGACGCTAAATTAACTTTTTAACTTAATCAGTGAATGTTTCCTTTATAGAGCTGTAACTTTCTGCTCTATTACAGACTGTTCATTTTCACCAGGTGTGTCAATTTTTTTTACACTGCGATTTTATTCTATTTTAAAAAATTTAATACACAAGAGTTATAGAATAGCATCCCGTTACTGATACTCATCAGGTATTGCAGTAGAACCAAGTATAAATTCATTGATTCTGGCTTTGAATGTTCTTTAACCCATTACTGTCCAGAGATTAACTTTTACAATAGTACAGTCAAGTAAAATAACTTTTATCAACTAAATTTAAAACATTCACAATCATGAAAAAGTTAAACAAAATGCATTAAACAGGAAATTTATTTGTCTAAATATCTTAATATTTTTAATGTAGGGCCTATATCCAACCTACACAAAACTAAAGAAGTCTTGACATATTTAAAAATGTAATTGGAGTCAGATTGATCAGCAAACTATATTAATTCTCTAAATATATTGTCCATAATATTAAAAAAAACTGGTATTAAACATCTGGATAGAAAAAGAAGAGCATGTTCTGGCTTCACTTGATCTTCTCAATACAAGCTGCTCCCATAACTAAGGGAATGTGTACAGCAGTCCATCTCTGGCCACAGGTTAGTAAAGGGTTTACATAAACTAAAATCACACTGCAGACTTTTCCAGACAGTCAAAAGGAAGGAAACTTGAATTATACAAGTTGTCTAATGATACAGCATTTAAATGTGTTAAAGAGAGAGGTTAGTCTAGAGCAGGAAGCTCCAGGACTATAACATCATAACCCCGTAGATTGGCACCCTTGTCTAGGAAACTGATGCTCTTGTCAACTTGCTCCATCTGAGTGTGGTAGCGAACTGTGCCCTCCTTGATAGAGAACTCACTTAGATCTTCAGGAGACACATGAATCTCCTGGTCACTCAGATTCATCAAAACAAGGAAGTAAGGGAACCTGGAGGCTTGACGTGTAAACACCAGCAGATCTTCATTTGGTGCACTCACCTAAAACAGATCAAGGTTAAATATTAAGCTCATCCATCACAGACCAACAGTTATTCTTACAATAAAAACTGGGACAGAATGTACCTTTGTGGTGCCCCATTGGAAAGATTCCCTAGTTCTCAGTTTGGATAGTTGCATGTAAGCTTCAAGGGGTGTAAGACCAGAAAAGTGAGCAAGTCCAACCTGGTCAAAAGAAATTACAACAGTACAATTAATGTATGTTTAACAATAGACATCAAAGCCCAACCATGTGATATAGAAGGTAGTTTAGCTGACCTGAACATTGTCCACCTTGTAGTTAGAGCCCACAGGGATCCAGGTGCTCACATTTTTATCTGTAAACCCAGCATTTACCAGGGTGTTCCACTGCATTGGTGTCATGTGCACCTCATTACCCTAAATACAAAAGTATGAGTATCAAAATCTTGTTGCATAATCTCTGGATAATTTTTTTAAAATAAGTTCAGAACTTACATGAAACTTGACACTAGTTTGTGCATCTCCATCTCTCTGGCCAAACTCATCACCATAATAATTGAAAGGAGTCCCTAACAAGAGCAGTTGCAGTGCATGGGCCTGCATCAGACGCTTCTTATAGTCTCCTCCCAAGCGTGTTGCAACACGCTGTGTCTCTTGGTTACCAAGCTGTATTAAAATAAGATAAAAATGTCTTCCTACTAAATTAAGAACGAAGAAGAAGAAGTCTTCCTCTTTTTGAACAAATCTTAATACAAGTTTGGGCAACAAACAATCACTTCAACCTACTTGAAGTCCAGGCCAGTAGTTTGTTACATTTATGTTCAGTTTTTCTACCAGGGCTTTAGCACAAACAGCCTTACAGCCATCCTTCAGCTCTTCCATTACAGGAACCACAATATGAAGTCTTTTCTTTTCGTTCGTTCCCCAATATTCTGAAATGTCCTGGCCATTACGCACTGATCCAAATAACAGCCTAAAGATCAAGTAGTATTAGTATTAGATTATACATTTAAGTAATGAAAAATTCTTAAATTTTTATCACCTGTAACAAGTGTTGAAGAAAATGTTAACAAAAAAACAATGCCTAACCTCAAGTTGTTTGTATAGAATGTGAACAAATGTTAAATAAAATAGTAACGTACTTCTCTCTCCCTGGCTTGTCAGAATACTCATCAGCAACAACACGCAGCGCTTCAAGAAATGCTAGAGTGTCATTGTTGTAAGCACTCTCAAGGCCTTTAATATGGAAACCACTAACACCGGCCTCAAACCAAAACTTCAAAATATCCTGCAATAGATTTTAAAGCTTAAATTACTCACAAAAAATAAAACTAGATGCTTCAGATCAAAACAATCATTTTTAAAAGGATAAACAAGCACAAGAAATACTAACTTTGAACTCTTTTTTAACAGCTTCACTCTTCAAGTTGAGATCAGGGTAATCCTTAGAATACTGATGAAAATACCAGGCCTTGCGCTCTGAGTCATATGACCAAGCTGAATCACCATATTTATTTTTCTGTAAAATATACACACAATGTAATGTACCCAACAGGGATAAAAAAAAAATATCAATCACAAAAACCTTTATAAAAACTAGTAGGGTGCCACCTGACCTACTTTTTAAAGTTTGGGGGTCATTTAAAAAAAATTATATACTATAATTTGTTTAATACAGCAAATTCCACAATACTGATCAGATTATAATGAATTCTTAGGCAAACCAGGGCCACAAAGTTCACATGCTACAGACACATGCTTAACTAATTCCCTCTTCCCCCTACAATGAAAGATAGCTTTATGCACTGGACTGAAATTTTAACCAGGTCAATGGCAACCACTGGCATAAAAACATTTTAATTACCAGAAAGAAACTCCAAATTTGTTTCAATTTTCAAGGCATATTGCTGTTATCAAATTGATTTTTTCAAGATTTGATTTTTAAGCAATGCAAGTCAGAAACTGTTTTCAATCAAGTGTAAAACCACATGTCAAAATCATACAATTATTGGGGAAATTAAACTAAAAGATGAATAAAATCCACTATGCACAAATAGAAGAGCATTTCATAGGTTTGGTTTTTTAAAAAAGTATGGACAGAGATGTCAATGTGAGTACCATTCCCCCAAATTTTTTGTGTGTAGCAGTTTTACCTGAGTACCAGGAGGATTGTTAGGAGACCCACTTTGCCAGATGTAATAGTCAGCAAAATGACTATCATTTAATTTTGACTTCAGAAACCATGAATGGTTTTTGCTTGACTGGTTGGGGATGAGATCAAGAATGATTTTCTTTCCTGTAAAATCCATGTTATATAAGAATCAGAAACATTTAGGATAATTTTTGGGAAGCTTATTAAAACATTGACATGTCATGCTGAAGCCATATTTGTTTTAGTTACATTGTTACACTCACACTAGAGATGCCAGACCTACTTTGCTCTCCTTACCATCAACAAGAAGAGTTAACGTTTTATTCAAAAGTCAATTTAAAAAGTATGAAAACGCGACTTTCCAAAAAAAAAAAAAAAATTCAATAGCAATCCTTTTGGTTTATCTCATCAATGTGTTACCATTCGTGTATTTTTAGATGTGTGACCTCGCTTTCTAAAACAGTTATTTAAATAAAAACACAATAATAAAAATATCTTGGATCATCGTTGTTAGAGCGTGGGTTTGTTCACACTGTCTGCCAGACGACCCAAGGTCTGCTGTATAAAAGCGTTGAGTGTACATTAATCACCTTCTGTAACTGTGAGGTAGAACACACCTCAGCGACTGCCCAAGCGTAAGGGTCATCGGGGTGCTCTCAGGATCTACCGGTTACACTAACACAGAGGCGCCAGGTATGGCCTCGGGTTTAGCTTAATCATCAAATGTGTGGCATGCACTGTGTTCCTACTGTATGGTGTTCTTTAATGCATATGTAGGCGCCATAGTGCTCACGGGGGAGCTTGATGCAGGTCACCAACAGTCAACAGCCGAGCCTATTTGGTTTAGTCAACGACAATGGTGGCCCACTGTATACAGTGTATAGCACTCTTTGAAACGACCAGAGGTGCCAAATCACACCCAGCAGGTCTGCTTGGAAAACAATGGGTGAACGTAATTTTGATTGTTTAAAATTGTAAATAAAAAATTAAACCGAATAGATATAATAATTACTATTAATTTTAGCCAACCTTCTTTCCTCATTTTTTTAAGCCAGTTTTTGAAGTCATCAAGTTTTACTTCAAGCTTATCATCTAAGTCTTTGTGATCTAGGATTCCTAATGAATAATCCTCCCCATCATATTTGTAGATTGAATCCAGCCAAATAGCCTTAGCTCCAATGTCATCGGTAATGTATGAAAGTTTATCGGTCAAACCTGAAATCAATAGTAATAATTTATCAATTACAGTAACAAACAACTTTTTTTTATTACTTACTCAAGACAAGAGCTAGCTTAGTAGGCAGAATGGCAATTTCCTATTTAAAATTATGACTAGGCACTAGATATTGTATTTAGTTCTAGTCTAGGGTAATCTATCGTTTTAGCGTAATCAATTCGGCTGCAGTAGTAATGTGCGGGAGAGGTAATTGATGAATATATTTGTTTAAATAAGTATATTTAAGTCAAATTTTACAAAATAGAACAGATAATTGATTTAAAATAACAATCAGTGACCAAAACAATTTAAAATATCACGAAACTAACTTTAAACTACGTGTTTGAGATAAATATTAGAAGATAAAAACAGCGGCCATCTTTCCAAATAAAATTTAGAGTAGTTCCCCTTGATACAAATGTCTATTCGTATGTATATTGTGTTGACTTTGTTGTTTAATATACATAGGTGTCTTGTTTAATATAAGTACGACAGAGGGCCGACTTCTTATCTTTAATTTCAATTGATGAAATAAAGGCTATGTATGTATGTACATCCAAGCAGGGGGGGCGGGGGGTGCGGACCGCACATGGTGACGACACCAAGGCATAAAATAGCAAAATATATAGAGAAAAACTTGAGGGGGGGGGTAAAAATCGAAAGTTTGAGGGGGGGGGGGGGGGGGGTGTGTGTGCAAATCGAAAGTTTGAGGGGGGGGGGGGTTATAACAGTGAAACATTGTTGGAGCGTAGCTTGGAGTGTGTTTTTGAGATTGCATCAGAAAAGGATGGTAGCTGTGCGCATGCGTGAGAGAGGGAGACAAGAAAAAAGAACATGGCGTAAGTTGGCTGTACACGCTGTCTATGTGGAGACAAAATAAATATGTATATAATGTAAAAGAAGGCTCGTCTTGTAATTTCGTATGTGATGGATGAAAGGTAGGGAAAAGGCCTGTGGCAAATTTATAGCGTGAACCCAGGCACACAAAAGGGTTGTGACAGGGGTGAAAATCGAAAATTTGAAAGTTTGTCCCCGGGAAGGGTCGCTATGCCTCGGTGGGGGGGGGGGGGGTGGTTTGGTGGTGACACCAATAAGTGCCGCACCGGGTGACACCCGACCTCGCTACACCACTGCATCCAAGATCTCAAAAACTTTTGGGAGGTCCAACATTTATTAAACCCTTTTGTACCGATGAACTTGTCAATTATTAGGTCGTCCATATTCTTCATAAAATGACGTTGGACTCAAAATATGGGACGGGGTAAAAAAAAAAAATTTTTTAAATGATTAAGAATATATTCGTTTTCATTAGAAATAGTGTTCGGGTATAGTTAGTAGAACTGCGATATATTAAATCATCATCTTGCTTTTAGTGACGATTGGTGGAAAGGGAATTCATCGGGAAAAGTATTACGTCATTTATGGATAGGGCCGGCGCTACCTATAAGGCGAACTAGGGAGCTGTCCATAGGGGGCGCCAAAAATGGCAAAATGGGTTGGAAAAACAAATTGAACGGTTGAAGGGGGAGCAAATCGTAAGCTTGTCCCCGGGCGCCGGGAAGGGTCGCTACGCCTCTGATAATACGGGGGCGTTTAATAAGTTTTGCCTAGGGCGCTAAATAACCTGGCGGCGACACTGTTTATGGGTGAACCATTTAAGCCTAATTGTTTATTATGTCTGTAGACATTAGTCTTAGGCCTACACTTTTTCTGAATTAAGGTTATTGTGTTTATAAAAATAGGTTTAAATTTTAATTAGTTACATTTGAATACCACATGGTTTTTGTTTTTCTTTGCCTTCTGCTTTCATCAGTTTTTGATTTGTTCAATAGTCGATGTTTACCCCTCCCCACCATCCATTATTACAAAAACAAAAAGCACCCACTTTATAGGGATATCTCCCTCTAGAAAAAAAATAAACCAGATCAACCTATAAAAAAAGAAATACATAATTTTTCTCAACCCCGTAGTTTCATCCCCCACTAAGCACAACGTCACCAAGTTCGCGGCGCGCGTGACGTCATTTGCCATTAGGCTAATGTTAAAGAAAGAGATACCGCGTAATTAAAATAAAATCAAAACAGGCTCTATGGAGTTGAGACTTTAGCGACGGTTAGCCTGACGAATAGATCTAAATGACTTTAGTTCGGTAAATTATATTGGTGTTTAATTTATTACAGTGGTATGCGGTGCTCCCTCAACTATACAAATTCACGTGCTTTTAATTTCTGCAACCTGCTGCTCTGAGACGTCCGGCTCTAAAGTGCCCGTGACACAGCGGCTTCCTCAAATGCATTTAGACTCCCGGTCCCACCTATAAACTTCGTCTGTCCATTAAGCTCCATGCAAAACTTGTGATTGATATGTGGACATAAGCGGAGATAGTGGTGGTGTCAACAGGGACCCCCCTCCCCAAGCTCAGCTCTTAAAGATGCTCCGCACTTCATAAAAGACAAACTTGATGTTCAGACATCGTATGACTCGGGTGTTTAGCACCGTCCACTGCTAACACTATTTCTATGTTAAACTCAAGCCTATACTGAGCTCTGGCTTTTTACATTAGCTGCTGTCGTATTAAAGGTTGATCTTTTGTTATGTCCCATGTCGGGAAACTTGCTGTTTTGTCCAATTTTACCTGCAAGCCAATAATTGTCTTGGATTCTTGTCGAATACCGTTGCCAGGAGCTATTTGGTTTGAGCCTTATTGTCAGAAGTTATTTCATTTGGAGTCAATGTAGTGCAGCCTATTTTCGTCGGTAGGCATTTAGTAGCAGGCCCTTTTTGGCGGGGATGGTGTGCTGAGGTTGTTTAACACCGCTTAGGACAACAGGCTTGCAATAGTTATGATCATTCGTTACGAGCAAAGGTATGCATAAAAACGAACGCTTTATGTTCCTCATTTTCATTGAGCACAGCTTTATAGAAGTCTTCCATAATTGACGTCACTCATCCCCCCCCCCCCGATCAGCCCATTATTATAGGTCATAAATTGCGGTCTTGCGTAAATTGACGTCACATAAGAATAGCATATGTAACATTGTTTATGGACAACTCCATATAACTCAATTTGGGTATTTGGTATCAACATTTTGACAAGAAAGGCTGTTCAACATGTATATTGGAGGTTAGGACTTGACATCTACCATAAATGACATCACGCACTTAAGGGGTGGAGTAACTGATTTTGAGACGACGTTTTACGCGAGAAAGGGGAGGGGTAAGAAATGTGAAACGTTAAGTATTTCGCCTAATACGAAAATGCTGAAAAAATTCTTTTTCGTTTGAATTATAGCTTGACTTTTTAACAGGCAGGGTAAAAAGGTAATTTTCGACATTACGACTATTTCATGATGGCGAAAATGGGGGGGGGGGGGGGGTTAAGGTGAAGATAGGTCAAAAATGTGACGTCATTTATGATTAAATCACTAAATAAAGTGAAAAAGCATGAAAATATGAAATGAAAATACTATATTTAAATAAACATTAGATATGTAGTGGTAGCTCTATAAAAATAGGGAGTTTCTTAATGCATAAAAATTGCATCTCATAATAATAATTCTAGAGCTGATGTTTATTGTCAGGCAATTAAATTGTTTAAAGGGCAGAATTTAAAAAAAAAAAACGCATGCTTTGTGTTTAAACACAAGACAAACGTCTTTAATACTTTAATAGCAAACATCAATACATTTCCATACAAATAGAAATGAAAGGGAAATTACTCAAAATAATATTTTCTTAAGATGGCTGCTGTTTTTAATAGCAAATTTAGTATCTGGAACATCGTTGTTAAACCTTAATTTCATGACATTTTTATTGATTTAACCCTTAAATGTGGTTTAATATTCAGTTATCTTTAGTATTTTAGTAGAATATGCAAAAATATATTCATATTTAAGCCATATTTAATATTTATTAGTTACCTTATCCCTACATTACTAGTGACGACCGAATTGATTACGCTAAAACGATAGATTACCCTAGTCTAGATCTTTAAGTAAGATATGAAATATGAACATACAATAGCACAATCTCAATAATAAAAGTAAAGGGGGGGGGGGGGATTATATCAGTGTCCCATAATAAATAGTATCTTAAAAATGGGGTGTAAGGTTACTGGTAGTTAACTAAAACACACACACATGGCTTGCTTTGCTAATGTAAAAATGTAATGTCAATGCTTCCCCAAACAAACCCCAATGGTCCGGCCAACCCTAGCTAGTCTTACCATAGGACTAACCCTATTTTTACTAGATCTAGATCTAGATCTAATAATTATTAATTTCTAACCATAAAACTAGCCGAGACTACTTTTACTAAACTACTATTTAACAACCTAAAACACCATTTTTTTTATGGTAGAGTCCATAGGCCGTACGGCCTAAATGTTAAATAAAATTAGATTCTAGATCTAGACTAGATCAGTAGATCTAGAATCTAGATCTAGATCTAGAATCTAGATCTAAATCTAGATCCTAGAATCTAGATCTGAGTAGATTCTAGACATTTCTGACATCTAAGAATCATTTTTTTAATTTTAATTTATAAAAAAATTAAGATAGAATCTAGACTAGATCTACCTTTAAAATCACCGTAACCATCATTGCTTGAGTCTTTGAAAGATTTGACTACCACTTGATAAACCGTGTCTGTGTTGTACCATTTCAGATCAGGTCTTGGCGGGCAGCGTGGGGCAAGTACAATGATTGTTATCGCAGTAACAAGCATAGCAATCCATCCCACCCAGAACAAGATGAATAGAATCCAGCGTAGACGAACCCAAAAGGGATCATTGGCATATTTTAACACTTCATCTTTTCCTAATCCACTGAAAGATACTTCGCCGTCTGATGAGGAGGAAGGTTCAACAATTGCTACTTTATACTCTGCTGGATCTGATGTATCGCCTCCAGCCCCGCCATTGGCACTGATGAGGTGAGCTTTGACTTCTTTTAATTCGTCTTGTTGCGCTGACTCATTCATGTTATCATATTCATTGGGTCCATCAGTTGGCTTTCCTTCTTCTACGTCGGCCATTTTTTTAACCAAACGGTTATCTGGATTAGATTAGATCTATCTAGACCCTAGGATGGACAGCAACTATTTAGAATGACAGTCAGCAGCACCTTGTCTACGAGCCTCGGGAAAATTTCTGACGAAACACCAGGCCAATCATCAGGAGGCCTAGTCAATGCGACGTCACGTCCAGGAAGTATGGCACAGGCCTATCCTATTTTCTAAAATAGGGTGTGTAAGCTGCACTGTACTAGGTTATTCAATTTTTTTTAATGATATTGTTAAAATTGTATAATCACTAAAACCTTAAAAATAAAATATTATCACTTTTTTTTTAAGACTAGGTCTGATTATTACGATTAATAATGTAACTTAGCGGTGGTCTAACCTAAGGCAGCCTAGGCCCTAGCTTAGTGAGCCTTTTTGCGACTAGCGCATGCGTGGGCATCAACCTTATGACATTTTGTAACTAGGCTAATGTAGGCCTAACCCTGTCGCTGTGTAGACCTAAACAAGGCCTACGCTATAACTAGCCTATAGGCCTACCAACCACTCTTTTAATTTTATTCTTATCGGAACTTGAATATAATATTAGTATTTTACACTTCATGGCGGGGAAATCGGTCTAAATATTTCGAAATAGGCTATTATCGGACATCGGTAAAGCTGATCATTATGTTAATGGGACTTAAACGGAAAACTCATTGTTTAATTAATATAATGATATTATAGGCCAGTCAAAAAAACCGACTAGAGATCTAGTTTGGGTGAGAATCTAGATCTAGACTCCGTATCGGTTTCTGAAAGTTTAAAACAACAGATCTAGATCTATATTCTATAACTTTATCATCTTTAGCTGCCAGGGAGAGTGGAAAATGTTGGCCTATTTTCTGTATCGCGTGTTAAGACAGCTGGAAACTTTAAAAAAATATTCTAGTTTAGTTTGACTTAAAAACGGACATCCTTAAAGTTACAGGATGTCCTTTTCTCCCGAAACTGACGAAACGAACTGTGCGATTCAAAATAGGCCCACCAAAGCCTAATATTAGTAATACTAAAATAAACGCTATCTTCATTCTAATTATAGGCTTCTAAGTAAAGGAGCTCGTCAGAGGCGTAGAGACCCCCTCCCGGCGCCCGGGGCGAACTTTGAATTTGGCGCCCCCCCCCCCCCCCGTATATATATATATATATATATATATATATATATATATATATATATATATATATATATATATATATATATATATATATATATATATATATATATATTTGTGTATACTTAAATACATATAAATATATGTAAATATATATATATATATATATATATATATATATATATATATACATATAAATATATGTAAATATATATATATATATATATATATATATATATATATATATATATATATATATATATATATATATATATATATATAATAAAAGCCGCCAGGTAGTGTGTCAGTCCGTCATCGCTATAGGCGCGGACGCCCGGGTAAACGTGTTGTTTGGCGGCGGTCTAGATGACGAAGCGCTGAAGGAATATCCGTCCCAATGTGGGAACCTCCATCCGCGCGCAGCGCGGTAAAAACTGAATATTCGCCCAATGCGGGGAACCCTATTCTGAAGGAATATCCGCTTCAATGCGCTTACCCGCACCCGCGCGCCGCGCGGTAAACTCTGAGGTAATATCCATATCTACACTGTGGCGAAGCACGGGTACACGCGCAGAGCAGTGCGCTGAAGGAATAAAATGATTCACCGTGGCGGAGCACAGCGCGGTAAGCTCTCGGGAGACATGACACCCGCTTACAGCGCCGTTCGCAAAAAAAAAATAATATCCACCCCAATTCGGGAAATCTGAGGTAATATCCATATCCACATATGTATATATGCATTTGTGTGCGTATATATGTGTGTGATGTGTGTGTAATAATGTGTTCGACGGTCCGGAAAAGGTTTAATAATTACGGTGTATGATTTTCGTTCCTTAAAACTTTACTCGACGCCAATTAAATTTTCCTTTTACCAAAGATGAGTAAAGTCAGATTTTTTTTTTGCCCAGTCTGAGTTTAGAGGGTAGTTTGTAGCAACCGCTAAGGGGTCATCCATAAATGACGTCACACTTTTTTGACGATTTTTACCTCCCTCCTCCCCTCCGTCACACATCGTCAAAAAAGCCAGTCCCCCTCCCCTAAAATTACGTCACACCACAGCCTACAACCCCCCCCCCCCCCTCAAAATTGCTGTTGAATTTTTCTTAAAACATTGATATTTTTCCAAAATCTTGTCTGAACTCTGTCAATGTAAGAGTATTTTAATCAATTGCTATTACAATTTAATAAAGCAGTTTTCTAAAACGCGAAATAACGGCTAAAACTCGTTTGCTAACTTTGCTTTTATATAATGCAAAAGTGTGACGTCACACCATCTGAACCTCCCCCCTATGAGTGTGACGTCATTTATGGACGACCTCTAATTTGTGTAGACCAGTCTTTTATGTTCTATCTTTGGAACAGTCTCTGTTGTGATATGTTACATAGTTAGATTATAAGTTTGTTAGAATAAGGTCATACAAGTGACACAAGGTCAACTTATCAGAAACATTTATTGCACGCATTGAAATAAGACATGGGTATTTCGTTTTGATTGTATAACGAAACAAGCTAGAGGAAACAAACTGGAATTCAACGGACATAACGGACATAACAGCTCGAAGTCTTGGATTTTGCAGATGTGCGCTGTCTTCTCGTCCATAGTCAACAACAAACGCAGAACTAATTGTATTGGTTGAAGAAGCAGTAATAAAGTTCTGATTAGATTCAGCAGCGATAAAATGCATTTTAACATTCTAAGTCAATGTGGAATTCAAATGACATTGTCAACAAAAATTCGATCAGGATCTACAGCTGAATGTGAAGTCTCTTTTACTGTATGGCTCAGAGCCAGGTTACAGACAGTGGAGAATGAAATAAAAACAACGAAAAGGTGGTGGTTAGGACACAATATCAAAAAGACAGTAAACAACTTCTAAGCAGGAGCTGGTGAAAAGTCCACGTGGAAACAAGAGGAGAAGGAGATCAAAAAAGTCCTGAAGAAAATCTTTTGAAGTAGAGATGGGGGAGGCTGGATTATTAGGGTTCTATCTTCATAAAAATCAAGCGAGTTGACGAAGTATTGCCTATGCTCATTGGGAAACCAGAACGAATAAAAAGAAGAAATCAAAAGAGATTGGAACAGTGGTTCTTAACATGGGTTCGATCGAATCCAAGGGTTCGGTAAGTAAGTCTCAGAGCTTCGGCTGAGGTCAAGACACACACCCGAATCACAGGATTCGACATCAGATTTTGTCAGTATGGACTGGACGATAGAACTATTAAAAAAGGTTCGGTGAATTTGCGTGTGAAACTGTTAGGGTTCGTTACCTCCAAAACGGTTAAGAACCACTGCATTAGAGTGTAGTTTGTATAAGGTGTAAGCTTATTAAGTTATTTGGTCTACTTTTGGTCGTGTCTTTAGAACAATTTCAGTAATAATGTATTATAGTTTTAAATTATCAGTTAGGTTGAACATAGTAACAAAGTATTAGCAGTCGTCGTGGTGTACCATTTTTTTTTACATCGTTTAGTAGGTCTAGTGGCCTTAACTATATGAAAATGGCAGTATTAGAACTTGTTATGAAACAAGCAATCAAAAAATGATTTATTCTGTACAATATACTAATTTTTTTAGCTCTTAAAATTTCGGCAAGAATATCGTTATTTTACTTATTGACTTATTGGATAGCGATTCAAGAATCCGTGATATTTATTTCTCTTTAAAACAGTTATCCAGGCCAGGTGTAATGCAATCTGTAATATAGTGAGACTTGTGAAGTCAAGGGAACTCACTCTTCTTGTATTAGTATTATATTTATACTGTTATCTTGAGTGATGTCCCTTATATGTTTATATATCTTTGTGTCTCGTGACTTCCGCCCTCTCTCTCGTTACCATCATGTAGTTGGAGGCCAATAAACGTTTTATATACAATCACATGCTTCTATCGTCAATCTATTACATCTGGCGACGAGGATGGGATAATCCACTAGAAAGAGCATATGCTTACTTAAAAAGGAGCTTGCTAGAGCATATTGGCTAAGTATTTCTAGAATAATGGCGCTGTATGGCCAAATAAAAGAATTTGATTCGAATGATGAAACCATTCATGATTATCTAGATAGGTTAAGCTTTTACCTTGAAGCTAACGACGTGATGATAGGAGCCAAAAAGAGAGCTGTTTTGTTAACAGTCATAGGGCCTCAACAATTTAGGCTACTAAAGGACTTATGCGCACCAGCTAGTCTAACTACCGAGAGCTTTAACGAGCTGAGCAAACTGCTAACAGACCACCATGCGCCTGTACCATCAAAGTTTCTATGTAGAGCCAGTGGCGGAACTAGAAAAAAAGGGCCACCCCGCAAAAAAAATTTTTGGGCCCCATATATATATATATATATATATATATATATATATATATATATATATATATATATATATATATATATATATATATATATATATATATATATATATACATATATATATACATATATATATACATATATATATATACATATATATATATATATATATATATATATATATATATATATATATATATATATATATATATATATATAAATGAAAATTCTTAGTTTTATTTTTAATTAAAACACGTTACAACAACACATCATTTGAGTGAGTGTTATTAGTCTGTTTTTTTTTTTTTTTGCCTCAGACACGTAATTTATAGCGTCAGTTGTATGTGTTCGCTTTAGTATTACAGTTTTCATCATCGGCGCTTGTGAGGACTGATACAGATTTACAATAGTAATATTTCTTTCTTACTTGTAGCCTGCTTTCATTCATTTAAGATGGTTTACTTATACATAGATCTAATACAAAACGTCTAAATATAAAAAAAAAAATTTAAAAATTAAAAACCAACCTGAAACTGAAAATGCAAATGTGTAATTAAATGATGATTCAAGGGATTTTTTTTTCTCGGCGTGTGTGGTGGGCTGAGGGGAAGGGTCTGTTTTGAAATTTCTCTTATTCAATGGATGAAATAATGCTTATCATGTTGCTGTTGATTGGGGTTTAAAGTTTAGTTTCATTTGTTTTC